AATTAGGAAAATTAAGAGGGTATGTTGGTTGAGAAGGAACATTAGAGGAGATAGTTGGCAGCGTGGTCAGGGCCGCCGAGGGTCAGAGGGGGTGCGTTGGTGATTGGCCCTGCAGCTGCAGTGGTCTGGTTAGGGTGGAAGCCAAGAGGAGTGGGTTTAGGAGAGAGTGGGACACCACAGAGTAGAGAAAGAATCACTGCGCATTTTTTTTAAAGATTTATTTATTTTTATTGGAAAGTCAGATATACAGAGAGGAAGATCTTCAGTCCGATAATTCACTCCCCAAATGAGCGCAATGGCCGGTGCTATGCCGATCCAAAGCCAGGAGCCAGGAACTTCTTCCAGGTATCCCACACACGGGTGCAGGGTCCCAAAGCTTTGGGCCGTCCTCGACTGCTTTCCTAGGCCACAAGCAGGGAGCTGGATGGGAAGTGGAGCTGCTGGGATTAGAACTGGCGCCCATATGGGTTCACTGGCGCGTTCGAGGCGAGGACTTTAGCCACTAGGCCATGCCACCGGGCCCTCTGCACATTTTCTTTAGTTTTTGAGATTTTATTTATTTGATGGATGGTAGAATGGCTCAGTGGCTAACTCCTCCTCTTGCATGTGCTGGGATCCTGTATAGATGCTGGTTCGTGTCCTGGCAGCTCCACTTCCCATCCAGCTCCCTGCTTGTGGCCTGGGAAAGCAGTCGAGGACAGCCAAAGCCTTGGGGCCCTGCACCCGCCAGTGTAAGAGACCTGGAGGAAGCTCCTGGCTCCTGACTTCAGATTGCCTCAGCTCTGGCCATTGTAGCCACTTGAAGTGTGAACCACAAGGTGGAAGAACATCTTTCTGTCTCTGTAACTGCCTTTGCAATAAAAATATTTTTTTAAAAACTAACATTTATTGGAAAGGCCGAGTTACACAGAGAAAGGAGAGAGCCCCATGAACCTAAGCCATCTTCGCTGTCTTTCCAAGAACGTTAGCAGGGAGCAGGATTCAAAGTGGATCGGCTGGGACTGGAACCGGCGCTCCAGGGGCGTTGCCGAAACAGGCAGTCACTTCAGTTACTGCGCTCAACACCTGCCCCAACATTGACTTTATAAAACCTTTGTAAATATATACCCATTCCAGGGGCAGGAATCATGTTTCATAGCTTCCCCTAGCTAGAAATAGCTATAAAATCTACTACTTTTATTTGGACATTTATATCTAATGAAATTGGTGCCAGCACCAAAACATGACTGAATTTTAGGTCATCACTGTCTAACTTCTCATTCACAACACGCGTGAGTTCTAGTGCGGAGTGTGTACGGCATGTGGGCATGTCTCTCATAAGTTCCATTTACTGTATTGTATATGTTTAACTTCAGATATTTTTTATCATTGATTATGGCCTGCTTTATATGATAAATATATATCCTGAGGCAAGCTAAAATATATGTGTGTTTTTTAGTTAGTTAGTTTTTAGAGGAAAATAAGAATCACAGAGAGAAGCAGAGATAGAAGGAGCTTCCATCTGCTGTTTACTCCCCAAGCAGACGCAACGGCGGGAGCTGAGCTGATCTGAAGCCAGGAGCCAGGAGTTTCTTCTGTGTCTCCCATGCAGATGCAGGGTCCCAAGACTTTGGGTTGTCCTCGGCTTGCTTTCCCAGGTCAAGCGGGGAGTTGGAAGGGAAGTGGGGCAGCCAGGATATGAACTGATGGCCTGTATGGGATTTTGAGGCTTGCAAGGCCAGGGCTTTAGTTACTAGGCTACTGCGCTGGGCCCCAAGTTAAAATCTTAACATCTCGGACAGAGTGTAGTTTGTGCCAGTTTTGTTGTTGCAGAATTTAGGGGCCATGATGCATAATAAATACTTAGCTAAAATTAAAAAGGAAAAATGTTCATGTGTGTCTGGGTAAAAGAGAATATGCAGGGTTGGATTTCAGCTGTTCACCTCAGGATCTTGGACTGTGTGTAACACATCAACACAAACACAGCTGAGCACGGGGGTGGATCTGGCCTGCTACTGGCATGGCAAGCGTAAGTGGTTTAGTCTCAAAGCCTGTATCATCGTGTGCACCTACCATTGGACCCTTGGATATTTTGATATAATCAGTGGTATTCCCTTAGAGACCATAAGTTTCACCGGTAGGAGTAAAAGAAATTTCAATTAGCACAATTAATAGTGTCTTTATTTAAAAATTTGGGGGGGGGGGTTCTTTCTTTTTTTTTCTTTTTTTTTTTTTTTAAATTGGAAAGTCAGATATACAGAGATGAGACAGAGAGGAAGGTCTTCCATCTGCTGATTCACTGCCCAAGAGGCAGCAATGACTGGAGCTGTGCTGATCCGAAGCCAGGAGCCAGGAGTTTCTTCCTGTTCTCCAGAGCAGGTGCAGGGTCCCAAGGCTTTGGACCGTCCTCAACTGCTTTCCCAGGCCACAAACAGGGAGCTGGATGGGAAGTGGGGTTGCTGGGATTAGAATTGGAGCTCATATGGGAACCCACACATTCAAGACAAGGACTTCAGCTGCTATACTACCTTGCCAGGCCCTATTTTAAATTCTTTAATGACTGAGTTTGGGAAATATTAACTAACATTTTAAGGGAAGTTTAAGTGTGTATTTTTTAATTTGGAAACTGTCTTCAATTTTTCTTTCTCAGCCTCTGTAAGAATAGCAAGCAAGGGCCTGGCACGATAGCTTAGTAACTAAACTCCTCGCTTTGCATATACCTGGGACCCTGTACCCACAGGGAAGGCCCAGGGAAGGCTCTGGGATCCAGGCTTCAGATCAACACAGTTCCAGCCATTTTGGCCACTTGGGGAGTGAATCTACGGACAGGAGGTCTTCCTCTCTGTATATCTGACTTTCAAAAAAACATTAGCAAGCAAGTGCTGTAACCATAGGATTTTATGTGCAAGCCTATAGCTTGCCTGGCAGTATTAATATCCCACCTTTCTCCCCCTGGAGGACATGCCTTCTGGTTGCTTCACCACTATTGTTTAGATGTCTTATTTTTGAAGTTTTCTTCTAAAACTTTTCTGGAGTGAAAAACAGTGATTGTTGAAAGATCTTTATTTTATCTGGTATTTTTCCCCTTGTAAGTCCCACTAGGGTTCCATTATTCTAGGGTGTTTTGCATTGAATAGTGATGAATATTTGCAACTTTATGTAAAGATGTGTTTGGATATTTGTGTAGTCAAAGCAGTATAGGCTTCCATTTGGTCGTTGTGATGGTAGCACTCCTCTCACGGTGTTTACAAACACAGTGTGTTTGGTAGTTGTGATCCTGTATAGTGTGTCGGTTTTGTGATATAAAATTGTAGCTTTGTCTTGGAATATTTTATTCAAAGAATTTCAAAAATTTGTTTTGATCATTAGTCTTTTCTAGTCTTTGGAAGAACTTAGTGCATTATTTTGGAAGTAGATAGAAGGTTTGTTTTAGTTGCTGCTTGTAAATTTTTTTAAAGATTTATTTATTTTTATTACAAAGTCAAATATACAGAAAAGAGAGACAGAGAGGAAGACCTTCCGTCCGATGATTCACTCCCCAAGTGAGCGCAAAGACCGGTACTGTGCTGATCCAGAGCCAGGAGCCAGGAACTTCCTCCACATCTCCCATGAGGGAGCAGGGTCCCAAGGCTTTGGACCGTGCTCCACTGCTTTCCCAGGCCACAAGCAGGGAACTGGATGGGAAGTGGAGCTGCCGGGATTAGAAGTGGTGCCCATATGGGATCCAGGTGCATTTAAGGCGACGACTTTAGCCGCTAGGCCACCACGCCAGGCCCAACTTGTAAATCTTAAATTCATTTTTTCTGCTGCTGTGTTCCTTATACAGAAAATGCACACTGAATCCAATCTTTGTAGCTGTATAGAGTGCCCACTTTTGTAATATCATTCCTCATATTGATTGGGAGTAAAGTTTGTGTAGTTGGTTTGTTTCTGTATTTTATTCTTTTGGATGCTGTTTATGAAGGACGATGATGCATTCAGTAGAATTTCCTTTTTGTAAACTGTGTTGAAAAAAGTGGTCCTTATGAAATCTGAGTTTGAGGTTTTGTTTGGTGTAACAGCACCTGTATTTTGTATGTAGCGAGCCTCCCCAGTATTTTATATTTTCTTAGGACACTGATGATCCTGATTCTGTAGTTCTGTTCAAGTTCAGCAGTATCCTGAGGTGCCGAGTCAGGGTTAGGCCTAAGTCTTGTTTTTAAAGTGTTAGGCTTTCATAAGCGTAAGCAGTCTCACCTTGTGCATTCCTAGCTGTCAGTAATGTTTTCTCCTGGATTTTCTTCTCAGCAACCCGATAGCAGAAGGGTCAACTCTTCTGTTGGATTTTCTGTTTTGCAGCATACAAGCAATGACCCATATTGCTTTGTGGAATTTTATGAACACAGAGATGCAGCTGCTGCGTTAGCTGCTATGAATGGGAGAAAAATTTTGGGAAAGGTAAGATCATGGAATGCTGTAATGTGAAGATATTGGCATGTCATTTTTGTTGGTATTCTTAGTGAAATTTTAAGTGAATATTTAACTGCTGAGTGATGGTTTTTGTTATTCAGCCTAGTGTTTTTAGGCCTACTTGATTAATGATTTGATAAGTGGTAAGTGGTATAACTTAAAATGACATGCCTAATGATTGTATTAAATATAATCTTTGTTTTTAGGAGGTCAAAGTAAACTGGGCAACAACACCAAGTAGCCAGAAAAAAGATACCTCCAGTAAGTACTGCCGCGTTTCGCTGTGGAGGAGCTCTGAAACTTTCCTGGCGCCATCACCAGCTTAAATAGGGTCCCCCTCCATTGATGTTGCCTTGAAAAGGTTCAGGAGCAGACTTTTAAGTATTTGATTACCAAATGCTTTGATTTCAGATCACTTCCACGTATTTGTTGGAGATTTAAGTCCAGAAATTACAACAGAAGATATCAAATCAGCATTTGCCCCCTTTGGTAAAATATCGTAAGTATCATGCTAGTCCTGGAGTCAGTATGCTGGGAGAATTGCACATGGTTGACTTGTACTGCAGCTAAGATTTTCTTTCTCTAGTTACTGTGTTTTTTTTGTTTTTCTGTTTTGTTTTGCTTTGTTTTTGGTTTTTTGATTTGTTTTTTGAATAGTAGATGTGGTTGAAAATGTTGATGTCATCTCTGTTTTGAGGTCGTGTTTCATCCTAATCTTGTGTATAATATGTTAATTTTTTAAATGATTATATTTGTTATCTTTAAATATGTTTAGATGATAAAACCTACCTTAAAGTTCAAATTTTTGTCAAGTGTTTTCAAAATTTGGTGGTTAAGAATAATGGGTTAAACATAAATATGATTTGTATTGTGGTATTAAACTTTTGTGGGGGAAGTTTATAAAATAAAGTAGGCAAGTCCTTGGTATATTGTGGTTTAATTGAAAATGTTTGTTTAAATACAATGATAAGTGTGTCTTACTATTATAACCATAGTGAAAAGTATTATTATTATGGTATTAAAATGTTTCAATGTCTGAGTCGTAAATGTGAGATTAATTATACTTTTTTGTTAGTGCTGCTTGATTTTGCTTAGTTAGAGGCAAATGTGAATTAGTTTGATATTTAATAAAATGTATCTTTGTTTTGCTGTCTTGATAAAATATTTTGGAAAATTAATAAGTTCTATAAAATGTTTATCACAATTTATCTTTCTGAGTAAAATCAATTTATTCTGTATATTTCCTGTATACTTGAATTAAATGTTTTGGTACTAATTTACAGGAATGTTTCAGTTAAGAACAACAATTCTTTTCTTTATACGATTTGTTGTTCTGTATAATTTATTTGAAAGAAAGACTTAATTCTTTAATTTTCTATTTTGATGTTTGCTTTGCTTTTTAATGTAAATGTGGTAAGTAGTGCTGTTTTAAAAATCAGTATAAAATAATAGAGGTTGCTGTTTTTCAATCTTTATGTATAGCTGAGACCTGCAGTTTTTCTAAAATCCAAGTCACAAATTAAAAGTAATAGCATTCTGGTTATTTTGCAGAATTGCTCATAAGAATGGACAGGATCTTGAAGGCTAACTGCAAGGAACTGTGCACACTGGAACTCAGTTGTAGATTTTTTTCTCATTTCTATTTATTCTTATTATACATTATTTATATATACATATTTTAGTATTTACATTTTAACATTCTATATTCAATGGAGTTCTATATTTCCAATCATTTTAACTTACTCACTAAAATTTCTGTGTAAATTTGTTGTTTTCGTACTGGTGTGCTTAGCATTGTTGTTAGTTTTTTATTCTCCTTTCTTAAATTTCTGAAAATGTCAATTTTTCAAAATTTACAGCTGCCCAAACTCCAAAATGATGATAGAGAATTGACCAAGAAAAATAAAGAAATCTGTTAACAGGCCATGTATGCCTTTTTAATTCCTATTTTTTCCTCTTTTTCAATTTTTTAATATTTCATATATTTTGTATCACTAGGCAGAAGACATTTAACTATTTATAGAAATTGCATGGTAAAGTAGTTAGCATTGTTGCAGTAATTTATAGAATCAGTAAACCTTAGCGGACACTAGCCAGTAGAAAGTAGCTAAGGAAATGTTGTTCCTGTTAATCTTCAGATCTGAGTGTTGAGTTTAGAAGCAGGCTGTGTGTTAGGTTGCATGTTTATTACATGTTTTTGTCCTACTGCTTTTTTCTAACAGGTGAAGAAGCATTAGGGAGAGCTTAGGAAGGGCTGTAGTTAATTAGGGCTGACTGGAATTTTATTTTTTAAAAATGCTCACAATACAGTGTGTGTGGTTCCTTTTAGTTTTTATTTTGGGGGTGACTCTTACTCCCCTCATATAGCTGTGCTTCTTTTCACAGGGATGCCCGGGTAGTTAAAGACATGGCAACAGGAAAATCCAAAGGCTATGGTTTTGTATCTTTTTATAATAAACTGGTATGTTCTTTCATCTCAGTTTAAATGTTTTACTAAATGTATTCATTAATTATATCTTAAATATGTTTGTTAATATAACAGTTATGTTTTGTTTGTGTGTGTTTTAATAACAATGTAATTAATTCTATTTTCATAAACTTGGGGAGATGGCTGGGAAAAAATAGCATGATTACATTGTAAGGAAGAATAGTAAAGTTTCATGTGTGCAGTATCAAAGTTAAAGGCCAAGATTCAGGTGCATGAGCTCAGCTGAGAATGTAGAGGCTGGCTGTGCAAATCCCAGTGTTGAGTTTTCCTTTTAAATTGCTATAAGCGGATGATATTGACTACAGCAAATTACTTGAATGGAACTGTAAGTTGATTCATCTTGATTGCTTTAAGACAGAGGTAGCAACAAGTAAGCATCTGTGCTCACTGTCACTTTGCAGTGGATGTTGATTTGAGAATACTTTCCAGCAATTTGCTTCATTTAAAATAAGTATCTTAAATTACCTGCATTTTAAGTGAAAAACGACAAAATTTTTAAAAATTAAAAAAAAAATTACCTGCATGAATTGGAATGGTAAGGAAAAGGGCCAGAGTTGCATTCTGTCTTCACTAGACTCTCAGAAAATTCACATTAATTGGAACAGTTGAATTTGTTCTTATTGACAACCATGTTACAACATTCTGAATTGTAATTTAAAAGCCCCAAAAGAACCGTTTTAACCTTTTTTAACCTTTTTAACCTTTTTAACCTTGCATCATAGTTATAATCTGTTACTACGTTACTAAAAGAATACAGGTGGAATTTTGGGCATAGGCAATTGAGCCTAATAATGAAAATGTTACCACTCCTGTGCCTCAGTAAAAGGAGCTGTATATAACCTCTAGATGTTTGAGAATGACTCTGTCTGGTGGGTTTTTCCTTTTCATTCAAATGAAACATGAGAAACCAAGAAATATTTTTGACTAATCAATGGGATTGTTACTTTTCCCTGCATACGTAAAATACAATAAATTTGCCTTAATTTGATATTTTAAAATCTAAACAAAAATAATTTTAATGAATCACTCAAGTTTGAATCTTGGGTAGGTTATTTGTGTTTCGTTCACACATGAGGTTTTTTGGGATCCAGTAGTACTGACCTTTCACTTTGTCTCGTGAGTCTTGGAAACCACTGTTTTGTGATTTTTTTTTTCTTTTTCTTTTTAGGATGCAGAAAATGCAATTGTGCATATGGGAGGTCAGTGGTTGGGTGGTCGTCAAATCAGAACTAACTGGGCCACACGTAAACCACCTGCACCTAAAAGCACACAAGAAAGTAAGTTATGCATGTTAAAATCGTGGATCTTTTGCTTATGCACGTATTAGTAGAGTCTTCATTTTTTAAATGTTAGCATAGCATGAAACCATTCTGTACTGGGCTTTGATGTATGGGGTTGTTTTTTCTTTTTTTCTAGTTACCAATCACCTGACTGTATCAAGTCATGATTACCAGGAAAAATATTAATCTTCCCACTGAGGCAAATCTTAGTGTTGTGTAATTAACAGAAGATAGTTTTATAATAATTTGTTTAGCATGTTCATTTCCTTTCTACTTACAGACAACACTAAGCAGTTGAGATTTGAAGATGTAGTAAATCAGTCAAGTCCAAAAAATTGTACTGTATACTGCGGAGGGATCGCCTCGGGGTTGACAGGTATGACGCGTGTCCAGGGCCCAGCTGGGCGGAGCTGCCTCACTGTTAGTGCGAATTTTATAAATCCTGGGATTTTTAAAAATGCATCCTGTTTTCCAGATCAACTTATGAGACAGACGTTCTCCCCGTTTGGCCAAATTATGGAGATCAGAGTCTTCCCTGAGAAGGGCTACTCCTTTGTCAGGTAGTGCGTTGCTTGTACTGTCAGAATTCTCTTCTGTTGGATGAATTGCTTTGTTACATTGTTGCCTTCCATGATCCCTTAAGTAGTTTCTGTTTCTGTTTTTAATTTGAAAGGCAGAGTTGCAGAAATAGAAGGTGAGCCAGATTTTCTATCTATTGATTCGCTCCCCAAATGGCCACATTTGAAGCCAGGGGTTTCTACAGGTCTCCAACATGGGTACACGACCCACGGACTTGGGCCATTTCTGCTCTGGTCCCGAATCATAAACAAGGAGCTAAATCAAAAGCAGAGCATTGTGCTGCTCAGATGGGATGCTGGCGCCACAGGCAGAGGATTAAGCTACTAAGCCACAGTGCCAACCCAGGACTTGAATTGCTGTTTGCAATGTTTGTGTTCCATGCTGATTGTCCTGGGAAAGCAATGGAAGAAGGCCAGATGAGTGGGCCTTGCTGCTCTTGCACAAGACCTGGAAGAATGTCTTGGCCTCCATCTATCTGGCCCTGTCCCAGCTGTTAGAGCCATCAGCAGTGAACCAGTGGATGGAAGATCAATCTTTCCCTCATTTTCTCACCTTGGCTTTCAAATCAATAAAGTTTGTAAACATTAAAATAAAAACACAAAAGATAAAACCTTAATGTTTTCTTCTAGATTTTCAACCCATGAAAGTGCGGCCCATGCCATTGTTTCAGTGAATGGTACTACGATTGAAGGACATGTGGTTAAATGCTATTGGGGTAAAGAATCTCCTGATATGACTAAAAACTTCCAACAGGTAATTCAATTTTTTGTGGCACTTTTTAAGTCTTCCATCTTACATATCTACATAAAAGCTTCAGAAACTAAACTAAGCAATAAATAATGTAAAACAAGTAGCTACTTTCAGTTGATTGTATTAATGCTATTTCAAAAGTGATTATTTTGTGGTATTAACTGAATCTTAATACTTTCTTTTCACAGGTGTCACCACCCCAATAAACTTAGACAATGATAAATAACAGAGTCCTATTCACATAAGGGTGCTTACTTAGTTTTACTCTTCCTTGTCTCCCACTCTTTCTTCAAGAACGGTGTTTCTTACTTGCTCCCTAAAACAATAATCTGCTTTTTCCTAGGTCGACTACAGTCAGTGGGGCCAATGGGGCCAGGTGTATGGGAACCCACCGCAGTATGGACAGTATATGGCCAACGGGTGGCAAGTACCGCCGTACGGGGTGTACGGGCAACCGTGGAGTCAGCAAGGGTTCGGAGTAGAGTAAGTTGTTTTGAGTCCTTCTTACTGTAGAAACAGAAAATGGGTTTTCCTAGCGAGAATCTGTTTAAAATATATGAAGCTCTTTGGCATTATAAGCATTTAGAAACAACTCTAATGAAATGTGATGTAAAAAATTAACGTTACCTGAATGAAAAGGGAAGTTGGGATAATACTTTGGTGTGTCCAACTGTCAGGAGGCAGTTGATAGAATTTGGCTTACATATCTAATATGTGTTTTATGAATATTTAATTTCATGTGTGCATATGTAATTTGTACTTAAATACACAAACTTTAATTTTGTGTGTAGAAGTATTTTAAATTTTGCCATAGAAAAGATCTTTGTTTATACATGTTTGGAAACTTATGTGAAATTAAGTAGCTTCATTTTTGCTTTGTGTGTTTTTGTTGTTGTTTGTTTGTTTTGTGTTTTTTCCTTTGAGTTGGTTCCTTATTTTTAAAAGCCAGGCCATGTCAGACCTTTATTCTCATTGTATATTTATTTTAATATTTTAATATGTGCTTTTGTGTGTAAAACAAATTTTTTACAAGTTGGTAAGTGATGGGCAGATGATAGAATGAATCATTTTTTAGAAGTCACGGGTGTCTTTCTCCCTCCTCTCTCAAGAGGCACCCCACCTCCCGGCTTCCTTTCCTTCCTTCCCTTTCCTGCTCCCCTGGTTCCTTTGCAAATAAACTTTTCTGTTTGCAAAAACAAAGTCACTTTTTGGGCCAGCATTGTAGTGTAGTGGGCAAAGCCACCACTTGCAGCACAGGTGTCTTGTATGTGTGCCGTTTAACATCCTGGCTGCTCCCCTTCCAATGCAGCTCCCTGCTAATGGCCTGGGAAAGCAGTGAAGGTGGCTGAGTCCTTGGGCCCTTGCCACCTCTGGAGACCTGGATGAAGCTCCTGGCTTAAGCCTGCCTCAGCCCTGCTTGTTGGGCAACCTGGGGAGTGATCCAGTGAATGAAAGATCGCTCACTCGCTTTCCCTTTCTGTTCTCCTCTGACCGTCCCTGCCTTTCTGTGTAGGTCTGACTTTTTGAGGAAAGCAGATAAAAGGTCAGCTTTTCAAGTATTCTTTAGAGATGCTATTGTGATAAGTTGTGATTATATCAAATCAAAAGTTTAAGGCTGATAGTAGGATATCTATTGTGTTCATATAGGATTTTCTTCTGTTGTGGATTTCCTGTTTTTTGGTTAGGTTTTGCTGGGTTTTTGTGTGAATAACCCGGTGGTGTTTTCTTGTTTTTCCCTCCAAGTCAATCCCCCTCTGCGGCGTGGATGGGCGGCTTTGGTGCCCAGCCTCCTCAAGGACAAGCTCCCCCTCCAGTAATACCTCCTCCCAACCAAGCTGGATATGGTATGGCAAGTTACCAAACACAGTGAGCTGGGACTCTAGGCAAAATGGTCATTCGTGATAGGCTTCGATTTCCTGTGACACTCTGAAGACATGAAAGTAGACATCGGAATATGAAAATATTTATTTTAAAAATTGAAATGTTTGGAACCTTTAGCACAGCTTTGCTTTGGTGAAGGACACATGTCTTCTAGTTCTGCCTTTTTAAGTTTTTGTTCATGATGGATATGAACATGATTTTTCTTTGTGTACAAAAACTAAAATAAAGTCAATAAAGACAGTTCTGCCTACACATTTTGATATGATAGGAGAAATGAGTAATCCGTTTTGATTCTTAGATACGATTCCATTTTTATCTTGCTGTTCAGTATTTTAACTCACTGTGTTTTTAAAAGAGCAAAAAAGGGAGGAACAAGGAAAACGGAATCCATGTAAGTTCATCTTGAATCCTGATACTCCCCTCCCCCGCCCTGAGGTGGATTGCATTTGAAGTCAGCAGAGAGAAGTGTGATATTCAGAAGAAATGCATGATTTTGGAGTCGCTTTGAAGGAAACACTTTGTCTATGCCTAAGGAAACTGAAGCCAGACTGAAAGCCTGCCACCTAAATAAGGAACAGCGTGGTCTCGTTACGTGAGGATGCACTGATGGTCCACACTAAGGCCTATTTTTAAAACTTCATAAAGGTGTCGATGAATAAACCTGTAGTGTACTACATTTCATTTGGGGGGGATTACAAGTATGGTGTTTGTATTACAGTCAGACAGTCATACTTGTGCTTTTACATGAAGTTTAAATGATATACATTGTAAATATTGAATAACTACAGTGTTTAAAAAGCATGCTTCAACATAGCAGTAGCAGCGATGTCATTACTTGGAGTAACACTTACCATACTGCACTGCATTGGATGCAGTAGATGGAGAAGAATGTCTTTAGGCTGACATTTCCAAGGTTGGCTACTACGTAAAATTAAAGTTACACAAATTGCTACACAGAAAAAGCCTTAATTTTAATTTCATAAAATCTTTGATGCATTAGTGTGTTCTAAAATGTCACTGAAAATTAATTTTTTTTTCTTATTTTTTGCTTCACATTATTTGGTATGTAAATACCTTAATTAAAACCTTATAAACCAATTTCAAGGTTCCTATAAGTTGTATAGTTAGAAGTGTTTTTTAAAAATCTTGGGGTGTTTTTAAAAATTAGATATATTTTGCCCAAGAATTTTTTAACAAGATTGCTAAAACATCTTATTTAGACAGTTCGATGTACCAATTTATAATTGGATATTCAGTTTAAATAGTACACAGAGTTGTGACTCTTTATTTTTAATTGATTTTTTTTCCTTGTAGGTAGGATGCTTGGGATGGCGAGCATGAGCAGTGGCTGGAGTTGTGTGTGTGCAGAATTTATAAAAGTCAGTTGAGAAAGATTAACTTTGCTTCCCAGATGCTTGTCAGGCTGTGTGGGTAAAAATCTGCCTCAAATTTCTATAAAGCAGGAATGTAAAATAGATTAAACACTATGTGTCTAGATTGTGCAGTTAGGGGTGCCGGTATTTTGGCAACGTACTCAGATATTGGCCTGGGCACGAAAATGAGAAAATGATTCTTTCTTATTAAGTAGTGAGATGCAGCTGGCACCCAGAAGTGTGTTCTTAAAACATATGAAGTCTTAAAATTAGCTTTAAAATAATAATTGTTTTATAAATTGGGGACCACAGTGACTTGAGTATTATTTTCCCCACTTAAAATTGCAGCCAAATGTATTAAAGATGAAAAAAAAAATAACCAGTCTGGAGCTTTTCATCCTTGGGCCAGGCATTTTTGAGGCTCCTTAGATTTTCCCTGCCTTAGTCTTCAGTTACACCTGCCTCTCCTGGAGCATGCCCCAGTTCCTTTTGTTCATGGTGTCTTTGGGGAATGTTTTTTGGAGAAGTTATATTTTGTAGAGAAAACACTTTATGAATCGTGCCCCTGAGTTAAAAATTTCTTGAATGTGTGTGAAACTTGGAGAACTAAAATATTCTTTTTGCTTTTGATAAGGACCTGTTGAATTTTCAGTTTGCTTTTTTTGGCGGGGGGGGGGGTCTACCCCCAAACGAAGTGGCTTCTTGACAGCTAGCAGCTCTGATGGTAGCTGTAGGGTTTCCTGACAGTATGATCTGTGATGGAATAAAGTTATCCAGGCTAGTTATTGCCATAGTGAACCTATGACTGAAGTGTCCTTTCCTTAATCCAAAAGAGAACAGCAGTTCATCACCAGTTAACGGGAGTTGTTTCGTGTTACATGGTTGTAAACTGTAAAGCTACTTATCCAGATGAAATACACAGTTTAGACAATACAGCTGTCACGTTGACAGACACACTTCTCTGCCAGTGGAGTGAGTGCTCCCTGATCTGATTGAAGCCCAGGAATCCTTGCCTTTTCTTTCCCAGGTTCACCCAAAGCAGCATCAGCAGAGGTTCTTAGGAATGCAAGGGAATGTTTATGGCGTACGGATTTTTGTTGATGTGATTCTGACGGCTGTCTTTGCCCTAATTGTCTCTACTAATATTTCCCCCATGCTATTCCCACTTGATTTTATGTCTGCTGGCAGTGAAAGGCTAAAATGAGTGGCCAAGTGAAGCCAAAGCTGTAAACCACAGTTGAAGTAAGTCTTTCAATAAAGACTAGACTATGTAAGTGGCTTTTTCTTATTGTCGTTTATTACATCAGTATTCCTTCCAGGCTGCCATGGAGTGATTGGGTTTTAGGTCAACAGTGAGGTATGTGATGTATACATCATATTCAGGAGTGACTGCTGTGTTGTGTTCATTAGTTTTGTGGGATTAAACTTTTATGTCTGGATATATAAGAGTAGACATTTGCATGCTTCTGCAAACATGTGTTCTGATGAAAGTTTATGTAGTAAAAGTTGATTCATTTGGGATTCACAAATACATGATGCCCAGGTTGGTGTTTGGTGGTGTGTGACCGAGCATTGAGTATGCTTCACAAGAAGTAGAGATCGTTTAGCAAGTGCTCTAGATGCTTGTGCAGTAAACCGACCCAGATGAAATCTTTGCCGTTCGTTGACAGGCATCATTTGGGCTTCTGCTCAATACATTTAAACAGCAACTTTGCATTCTTACTGTGTATTGGGAAGTTACACAAAAAAGTGTTTCTTTTAGACTTTAGATTTTACACACCTTCTTTCTTAAGTGGCCTAAAGGAGTTTTGCGCTTTTTGCTATTTTAGTAATAAACTGTCAGTGATTGTGTTCAGATAGATCCTCGTGAGGTAAGTTGGCATCATTTCCCTCTTGAAGCCAGAAAATATATAATTATGGCTTTAATAATTTGGTACAGATTAGCAAATGTGACTTGATAGGTAGGTAGGTAAAGGCAAAGCGGCTATTCGAGAGCTCCTGTGTGCTGGTTAACTTTCCACACGTCCTCAGGAGCTGGGCTTTAGCCAGGCCAAACCAGAAGCCCAGAAGTTATTGTTGGAGTCCCGGTGGGTGGCAGGGACCCAGCTCCTTACACATCCCTGCTGCATGCCAGGGTGCCCATCAATTGCAGCAAGTTGGAGTTTAACTCAGTCCCTGGCACCATGGTACAGCACACAGGTTCCCTAAGCAGTCGTCTTTTTTTTAAAGATGTATTTATTTTTATTTACAGAGAGAGGAGGAGACACGGAGAGATCTTCCACCCACTGGCTCACTCCCCCAGATGGCCACAGCAGTTGGAACTGGGCCATTCTGAAGCTTCTTCCGGGTCTCCCATGTGGGTACGGGGATCCAAGGAGTTGGGTCATCTTCCACTGCATTTCCAGGCTACCAGCAAGGGCTGGATTGGAAGTGAAGCAGCTGGAACTCAAACCAGAAGCCGATATGAGATCTGGCACTGTAGGCAGAGGGCTAACCTGTGCCACAGCACTGGGTCCCCTAAGGAGTTCTTTAACTGCTGTGTCAAATGCTCACTCCCTTAATGTGCCATGTTAGTGTGAAAAGTGGGCTTGCACTTTCTAGCTGAACTGAGTTTATTTGGAAGATAGTGCAGGTAGGCTCAGTGCTGTAATTCATAAGGTGCTTGGAATGACTGGTCTTCGGATTGCTGGTGAAAAGTGTATGTGCGGGAACCTCAAAGGGGAGGAAAGGCACCAATAAATGACCCTTTGGTAGAGTCAAGCTTTTTTCTGGAGGAAGAAATATGCATAACTTGTCACGGTTTCATTTTCAAACAAGATGTCACTAACTCTCACGAAGTACGTATATCCAATAAATGATTTCCTTACGTTTTGCTGGTTTGTCTTCTTTTTTTGAAACTGAGGGAGAGAGAAGACCCTCCCATCTGCTGGTTCACTTCCAAAATGCTTAAAATGGCCAGAACTCAGTCCAGGTGTATAGTGGGAGTGGCTAGAACCCATCTGCACGAGAGAGCAGCACTGCCTCCCAGACCCGCAGCAGGAAGCCAGCACTAGGAGCTGGGTGTGACCCTCGGGTATTCCCATGGGGTGTGGGTGTGTAAGCTAGCACTAGGAGCTGGGTGAGCCCTCGGGTATTGCCGTGTGGGGTGTGTAAGCCAGCAGTAGGAGCTGGGTGTGAGCCCTCTGGTATTCCTGTTTGGGGTGTGAGTGTGTAAGCCAGTGCTAGGAGCTGGCTGTGAGTCCTCTGGTATTCCTGCTTGGGGTGTGAGTGTGTAAGCCAGCACTAGGAGCTGGGTGTGACCCTCGGGTATTCCCGTGGAGTGTGGGTGTGTAAGCGCTAGGAGCTGGGTGTGACCCTCAGGTATTCCCATGGAGTGTGGGTGTGTAAGCCAGCACTAGGAGCTGGGTGTGAGCCCTCTGGTATTCCTGTTTGGGGTGTGTAAGCCAGTGCCAGGAGCTGGAGCTGCCTGTGCCCTCAGGTGCCCATGTGAAGTGTGGGTGTGTCAGCTGCTGTCTGAACCACTAAGCTAAATGTTTTAAACATGCACTAACCATTATTTTTCTGAGATGTTCCCTAGAGAAAGTAGTGTATAGTATCTTGAAATCAATTTAGAAAGTTCGCAAACCTGAATAAGACGGATACTTCTTTAAGCAGCTTTTAGAGGAGAACCAGGGCCTAAAGGCCACCTCTGATCTCTGGGCATGTTTCCCAGTTGCTGGTGTGCGCTGGACTTAGCTTGCCCCTGGGTCTCAGCTGCTCCCGAGTATTGTCAGCAGTAATTGTGTGGTACTGCAGAATTTTGCCCTTTAAGATTCTAAATTTTGGGTAACTTTGTTTTCCTGCTGTTTTGGTCTTTTGTGTGTACCAGTGAAGGAAGTCTGAAACCATACGAGCAAAAAGGACATGGAGTCTATAATCAAATGCAGTTGTTTTGTATTTAGAGATCTGAGGGTAAATAAGCTTGGATTTTATATCCAAGTTATTTTACTAAGCTGTGAGCTGAATTGTTTGATTTGTGGTTTATGTGGTGACCACCCAGCCATTTTTTGTTTGTTTTTTGAAAAAAATGTAAAGGCAGTGTCAGAGTTCTTTCATACTGTGAAAATGACCTCGGTAGCCAGATCTGAACCAGCTAGAAGCCAAGAGCCCAAAAGGCTAGGCTATCTTCTGTTTTCCTGGACCATTAGCAGGGAGCTGGATCAAAAGTGGAGCATCTGGCACTCAAAACCGTAACCCTATGGGATGCCAGCGTTGTAGGTGACAGCTGGGTGATGGTTGAATCTGCTACACAGCATCTGCAAGCTGCTTCTGCTTACAGGTGTTTATACCTTATTCACATTTACTGCTTCTTCCCAGCAAGTGCTTTGTTTCAACAATAGATGTGTTGGTTTTATTACATCTACTAGGCTGGTGACAAAATGCAAGATTGGGTATAACCAAAATTAGTCTTGCTGTCTAGATCTTCCTCTACTTTCAGTCTGTAGAGTACTGCAAATCCAGTCGTCTCCACTAGATGTTACTCTACTAAAGTGGCACAGACAGCAGGATTTGTGTGCACAAAGCCCTGGGCTTTGCTCAGCGAGCTCCTCCAGATCCTCCCCAGTGGCTCTGGTTTCTGACCCCGCCCCTCCCCTTGATGCGCATGGCAACTCGCTCCTTTGCCTACTTTTTTTTAGTCGCATAAGTGGTAAGCAATGTGTATTGCATATCTGCTCAATACTATTGAGTTTCGTGCTCGCAACATGTAACTGAGTTTCTCGGTGCTGCTGTGTTTGTCATGTGCATGCACTACAGGTAGTCCATCTACTCTTAGGAACTTGAGCTCCTGTCAGGCCATTATGGATAGTGCTGTTAGGAATTTAATGTTTTATAGCAGAGTTGATGCCGTGGCATAGTAGGCTAATCCTCCACCTATGAGGCACACAACCCATGTGGACACTAGTTCAAGTCCCAGCCACTCTGGTTCCGGTACAGCTCCCTGCTGTGGCCTGGGAAACAGTGGAAGGAGTCTTAAGTCCTTGGGCCCCTGGTCCCACAGGGGAGACCTGGAGGAGACTCCTGGCTTCAAATTGGCACAGCTCTGTCATTGTGGCCATTTGAAGAGAGTGAGCCAGCAGATGGAAGATCACTCCTCCGTGTAACTGCCTTTCAAGAAATTATTTAAAATGTTAAGGGGAAGAAATGTGCACATTTCTTTGGAGTAGATGCCTAGGAATAAAGTTTTTATTTGTTAAAAAAAGACTGGTTCTTGTTTGAGAAGGCAGAGCTCACTCCCAAGTGGCCACAATGGCTGAAACTAAGCTGATGCAGAGCCAAGAGCCTCTTCCAGGCCTCCCACGTGCATGCAGAGTCCTGCTGCTTTCCCAGGCTACAAGCAGGGGCTTAGCCTGCTACTCTGTGGTACCACTCCCAGCAGGGAAGTTTTGGGCTTTGAGACTGTCTATTTAGTATGTAGTATCTTTCTGTTTACTTTTATTGGAAAGGCAGATTTACAGAGAGAAGGAAAGACAGAAAGATCCTCCATCCACTGATTCATTCTGCAAGTGGCCATAATGGCTATAACTGAGCTGATCCAAAGCCAAGCACTTCCTCTGTGTCCCTATGTGGGCACAGAGTCTCAAGGCTTTGGGCCATCTTCCACTGCTTTCCCAGGTCACAAGCAGGGAGCTGGAGCAGCTGGGACACAAACTGGCATCCATATGGGATCCTGGTACATGTAAGGCAGTGATATAACCACTGGGCTACTATGTCAGGCCCTAATTTGCGGGGAGGGGTTGTTTTTAATGGCTTATTTGGAAATGGAAAAAGACCTTCCATTAGTTGGCTCACTCTAATGTCTGCAGTAGGCTGGTTCAAATTAAAACCATAGAACTCCTCTGTGTATGTCTTGTGGATAGCAGGACCCATTTTGGCTCCTTCAGATATCACATGCTGCTCATTAGCAGGAATCTGGAATCGGAAGCAGAACTGGGACTTGAACCCAGACACTGATGGGAAGTGTGTACCACAATGCCCAGTCAGTTTTAATAGATATTACCCCCTTTCCACGGAACTTGGCTCAGGTATACTTACATGCAACATGTGCCTATTTCACTTCTTTCATTGCCAAAACTCCACAGTGTCCTTGTGTGTGGCTCTCCAGAGGCTCACCAGCTCATGAAGCCGGGTGCTTCTTACCTCAGTGGCCTCACTAGCTTACCTTTTTTCTCGGAGAACTTTTGCCACCTCTACCCTTTTGCACATCTGAGAATGCCCAGTTCTTTCAGTTTCCTTC